GTTTCATACTACTTGTTGGGGTCGGTTTTCACTCCGACGAGTTTAACTACCAAAATGACTAATTATCAGAATACGGGCTTTGAAAGGGCCAATGATCACAGACTTATTTGGTTGTGCCTAGCCAAAATCAGACAGACCAGCTCGGCCGAAGCAAGCCAAACGCAATTAAAAGGCTGGCTCGGCCGAGCAGAGTTAAACCAAGGGTGGACCTACAAAACCAAGCCAAACCAAGGGAAGAATCGGCTGAACCAAACCAAACCGAGAGAGATCGCGCGTTAGTTCAAAGACCCGAGCACAAGGCCGAAAAAGCGCGTTGGGCCGAGCAGATAACAAGATGGGTCGAGCTGGAGGTCCAACAATGTTAACAGGCTGAGTAAAATTAATGCCGAAACCCGTTTAGTGAGATTTTTAACTTAGAGGAGAGTTCAAGTCCGCTTCCGCGCGAAAAAAAAAAGAAAATTTTCGAGAATCTCTCTTAGGCAATTTATAGAACTTGTATAAATAGCCAATGTATTTTACTCGTTACACATCTTGGATAATCATAAAACCCTAAGCATTACGCGCAAACACTTGTTCTCAAGAGCTTTCTTAGCAATAAAACCGTATATGGATCTCTGTTCTCATGATTATCTTTAGAATCCTCAGTTCTCTCTTTGATTTGCTTAACAAATTTTGATTGTGTAAGTTTTGGCTCACACAATTTGGCGCCCACTGTAGGGAACTAGAAACTCTCTTAAACAAAAAAATCAGTGCGAATACAAGATCTGAAGAGCATGACTACCGACAAAGGCTGCAACGATCAGATCGACAACCATACGAGCCCCCTAGGGATCCCCCTCCGACGAACACCAAGACAACCATCAGACCTCTTGACGAGGTGAAGAATATGCTGGCTTCACTAGTGAAGAGGATCGTTTTTAAGGTCTTATGCAGGTGTTTTAACTCTGTTTTCAATATTTTATAAGTGATTTCTATGTTTTAGAGTTTAAAAAGACTTTTCAGGAAATGGTTTATCTGAAGAGATTACAAGAGTTTAAAAAGGAGACAAGTCTAAAACAGCTAAGACTCATCTCAGAACTAGCTAGACAACTAAGACTAAGTTTGAATTTGAAAAACTCTTTCTCTTCTCTTGGCCGAGAATCCTCTTGACGGGCCTTGTTATGTATCAACAAATGGTTGATTGGAATGTGATCCACTTTCCTCGTTCAAAACCTATCCGTGGAAAACTCATTAAGACAAAACCAAGGATGAAGGAAAAAGAGTACAAATGAGTCACATGCCCAGTTTTTGATCATCTTGAGCCTGTATAAAAACCAATGAGGTTTGTATAGCATCTTCTCAACCTTGGCTCAAGTGATTAAGTATTCCTCCGATGGCTTTCCTTGAATTTCTTGGCTTTAGAATGAGTCAAGGGTCCAACTGGTGTAACTAAATCTTCCTCGGCTGCAAGCTCGTCCTCAGCTACAAGTTCATCTCCTTCAGGTTCAAGCTCTATGTCCTTTGTTCTGTCCAATATCATAGCAGTAGGTTAGGCTAATTAGGTTGGGACGTTCATGGAATTTTGTGTGGATGCGAAAAGAAATCAATAAGAATGAGAGGAAAAGTAGGAACAAGGGAAATAATGGGATGAAGTAGGGAATACAAAAGATGAAATGGTGGGTGAGTAAGCACAAAGGAATCTCTATAAGTGTCTAACCTAGTCTCTAAGTTAAAAAGAAAAAGAAAAGAAGCCAAAAATTAGTAAGGCAACAAAAAAATGTGGGAGAGAGACTAGGTGAAAGTGAAATCAAAAGAAGAGCTAACTGTGAAAAGAGAATGAACTCATCACTATAAGTAAAGAAAGAAAAGGTGGTGAGAAGATAAAGTTGAGAATGAAAAGATGGTGATCATTAAGGCAAAATGCCTTGGGAAAAAGGGTATTCTAAGAGAAGAAGCTTCATGGGTTTAGATTTAGGAGTTTAAAGAAATTTGGGGCATTGGGTAGGTCTATCTTTGTATGCATAGATTACCTTTTACCCTTAGCATTTTGCTAAAATTTGCTTCTTTTTAAAAGATCTTTGTTGGAGTAACAATGTTCTTGATTGAGATAATTTTAATATCAAAACCATGTCCCTTAGCCAAATGAATTCGCTTGATGTTCGTAGGCAAGATTCACTTCAAACATGTAATGAATGACAAAGGATTGGATAATAGGTAGGAATGCATATGTAGATTGACACTTGAGCTGGATTCGTTGGGAGATAGGCATGGGTAACTCTTTTGGAGTATGGTCTACTTAAATGCATTATAGAATTACAAATTAAAACCTTGAATGGATCTCTTTGATGATGTTATAGATTTGAACTCCAAATTTCAAACCTCTTTCTCTTACTTGTCTTTGTTTGCTTGAGGACGAGCAAATGATAAGTTTGGAAGAGTTGATCTAGCTACTCATATTTTATCTCATATTAGTATGCATCTAGCTTAGTTTTTATGCATTTTTTCTTTTGTTCTTGTTGTTTTTCTTTGGTTTTGTATACATATAGAGGTTAGTGTGTCTAAGAGGAGTCCAAGAGAGTTTTTGTGCATTTCATGTTCTTTTAGGTACATTTTGAGATGTTTGGAGACCATGGAGCTAGAGACCAAAGAGAAGCAAGACCCTAGGACTGACCCACACCGGCTAGACACACCTGCCAGACTTCACCTTTAGCTGTGCCCGGTGTTGCAAGATGTCCAAGCCGAGATAACACCGGACAAGCACACTGACCAAGGATTTTTCGGTGTTGGAGCGGATACCATAAGTACCTAAAGCCAAGAAGAAGCTACACCGGTGCAACATTCACCCGGTGTAGGAGACCGGTGCTGAGAAGATGTTGAAGCTGAGAAGACACTACATAATCCACACCGGAAAAATCTTGGCCTGTGCTGCACCTTTCTCCTCACCTCAATACCATACACCAATGACTTGTTTCCAGGTGTTGGAGAGCCGTGCTGAAAATACATCTAAGCCGAGCAAGCACTGCCTAGGGACACCGGCCAAAAAGTGACCGGTGTTGAAGACCCAGGCACCAAAGACACCCACACCAGCCAGTTACACGCTTGAAGACTGACCAGTGTTGTGCCTTAATTCCAGGTGGTGAGGCTAACCTATAAATAGTCACAGACCTAGTTTTAGTGGATATAATCTCTCTTGTAAAACACTTTCCTTTTCTGAGTTTAAAAACTCATAACAGATCTTTTTTAGAGTTTAATGCAAGTTTAAGTTTATTTTCTTAATAATCATTTTTCTTTTTTTATCTTTAATCATGAGTAACAACTCATCTTTAATAGGATTTTTGGGTTTAATCATAATTAGTGGGTTTGAATCTATGGGTGAGTTAGATTAAAGAGTTTACGGGTGTGATCTATGATGTTTAATTTATGTTAGAGATTCTTGTTTTCCTTTTTTGATCTAAGTGATGGTAATGCTAAATTTGTTTGAGAAAGTTAACTGGGTGTTAGGAAATTTCAAAACCTAGAAGGTGTTTGATGAAATTCTTTAAAACAATTTAGATAAAAGATTTATATCCGTAGCTCATGAGAATGATTGTCTAAGGTGTTTATTGGTTGTTCGATCTTGTTATCAATTCTTGTCAATCACTCTTTCACAAATGAAAAGTTGTTCTTGATTAGGTAATTAGCAAAATAATTAGTGTCATGAATATAGATTAGTCTTAATTAATGATCTAAACCTAATATTTAGCATGTATTTAAATGTTTTGATATCATAGATTAGCTTAGAAATCATCCCAAGTCAATAACCTCAACCAATGATTTATCTTTATCATTGTTTTCAATCTTTTTAGTTAAGGATTTATCTGTATTATTTTTTGCTTGCTTAATTTGAATCTTAATTAGGTTGCTACATAAAAAAACCATTTGTTGAATTTGCTTAAATTAAAGAGTTTTTTTTTTGTATTCCTAGCGTATTGATCATATCCATTTGGATTGATCCCCAAGTACTATAATGACATAAGTAAGATCTTGGGTAATTGATTAAGTATTGATTAAATAGATAGGAGATCAACTTGTTACGATAAACCTATGTTTATAAATAAAATATGATAAAATATTATAGAATTCAAAAATTTATTTTTTTACATAGGGATATAATAGTACATCAAAAGTATATTTTGATAATTTTTTAATGATTTAAATAGTTGTGATGTATTCTTAATGTTTTAAGGAAAATTGATCATTTACCTAGTTATCCTCAGAATTTTATTTAATACTTTTTCAAATATATGTTGATTTATATTCATTGTTACTTTTAATAAAAGTAAACTAAAAATGATAAAATAACAAAACAAAAAATTAATAGAAAAATATAATATCTCGGTCTAAAATAATAAGAAACTGTTACTAGTTGATAAATTAACCCCTTTTTGGATGAAGATTTCAGATAACTTACATGATCGTGATAAAATAATAATAAAAAAATGCTTGTTTATGTAACCCCTTTTTTGTTTATATAACCGAATGTCCGAAATGAGATATATTTGTCGCTCTATCTTAGAAAAGTTAAACATATAATACATGTTTGTTATCATATAGTAATCTCAATATATTAACACAACTTTATTGTGTATTGTTAGAAAATCAATCACGTATATTTCATGTTTGGCTGATAGCAAAAGCTACATTTTCCTTTGCAACAAATTTTCGCATTATTTTACAGTATATAACTATGAGAAATCAATCAATTTGAAAATGGACTAAACAAAACAATTTTTCAATGTAATAATTGTGAAAAGTATTTTTCTTGCTAGAAACAACAACTATTATAAAATGACAATGTATTTTTTCTATTGTATATTGTGTCTATAAAATATATAATAAAATAAAAGAAGTATAAAGTCATAAGTAGCTGAAATAAACTAGAAGAAGTTATATATATATATTAATATATATATATATATATATATTCCATCTTTAAGACAATGAGATCCTATTTTGTGTGACTGTCAAATCTTCATCTTCTCTCTCCTATTGCTCTCCCAGAGGGAAAGCAAAAAAAATCTGAGTTTCCAAAAAATCATTATTCTTTTATCAACGAGATTCCGTCGGTCCGATCCGCAATCTTTGTCTCTCTCTTCCAGAAAAAAAATTCTCTTACTCACACTCTCTCCTATATATGCTCTAAAACTTTTGTTCCAGGTATCATAATTCCCTCTCTTTTTCTTTCACATGCATATTTTCTATTCTCCACTTTTAATTTCCACTGTTCTATTGTTCTTTTATTTATTATTTCATGAATCTTCAGTTAACGAGTTATTCAGATTTTCCCTTCTAATACGTATTTTAGCTCTAAAATTTACCCCAAATGTATTTTCTTTTAAATATTTTAAGAATTTTATTATGTTTGTTTTTTTACATTTTGTTGATTTTTTGGGTTGAATTAATTGGCATTCGTTGATCTGTTCTCATGTTTTCTTAGTTTTGTTTTTTTTTTCACTTTCTGGTTTAAAAAAAGTAAAACGTTCGTCATTCTTAAGGTATTTCCATCAAAGTCTCTCACATGAACTTCTCATAAATTAAAAAAAAAACTATCAAATAGATATCTCTATCAAATATTGGTGAAACATACCCAAGAATTTTTTTGTTTGAAAGATTTTTCCAGTATTTAGGATGCTATATATATTAAATTTCAGTTGTAAGGGACTCTTGTGAAAGAGTATGGATAAATGCTCTAAAAAAACATATTTGAAAAAAAAGAATATTTTATGATTATGTTCATCATGAGTTTTTTTTATACCAAATTTGATGGATTCAACCCAAATCTAAATTGAAATTGAATCATGTTTGTTATAAAAAAACAGTATGAAAACAGTGGTATAATATTCATTCTTTTCTTCTCCAAATGAAATTGGGACATTGGGTAGACTCTATAAAACCACCAAAGGAATAATGACAGCAATCCTCATTATCATCTTTTTCTTGTTTTTTCCTGCTAAAAAATAAATAAAAATTGGTCTTAAATGAAAGCCTGAAAAAGTCATAAATATATATATATGTATATTGAATATAGATATATATATATAAATTAATAAACTTTATTAATAAACTTTTTCAGTTTCAGATGCAAAACTTTTAGTATAGAGTAACAACCTTTCGATAAAAATGGTTAGAGCAACAACCTTTTTCTAGAAAAAAAAAACTTTGATAAAAAAAAAATAGTTTTAAAGTTAAAAACTGGCATCAGCCAACGAAATAGCAATGATTACGTTATAATTTGATAAGATGCTGATAATGCCTTATACATGTATTACGTAAATACGTAACCTATCGTATATTAGTATTTTTATATATTAATTAAATGAAAACAATTAATATATGGTAGTTCTTTTTATGGTTTGATAGGCTATGAATAGTAATGAGGTTTGTCTGATACAAGGAGCAGAACCCACAAATGTCTCATCCTCTCTGCACATTTTATCTGAAACTAATTTTGGGTCAACAGTTTCTTCTTTTGGTCCCAACATTAAAATCACAGACCCTTTTTTGCTACTCTTTTTCTATATTGTTCCAGACGGTCCACTCTTTATTTATGGTCTTTTCACATTATTATTATTGCTAATTTTGCTAATTTTTTTTGGTTATGAAACAAATAAATAAATTTGTTACAAAACTCAAGAAAAAGTTGCTCTTTATAGAAATAGTGTGATGCGTTTTTTTTTGTCTGCACATGACAATTATACATCATATCTAAAAACAACGACAAAGTACCAACATCACCATAAAACCCTTTCAAGATCACATAATTTGCATCATCATCAACCTATCCCTTGGATTTGTTATATCTTCTTCCTCGATTTCTTTGATCTTGCAGATAACAATTATGGATGGAAACACTGTTTCTAGATTAATGGGAAACGGAGCTCATCAGATCAACAGGAAGATTCTGCAGACGTTTCAAAACAGCTTTGTTCAGGTGCAAAACATATTGGACCAAAACAGATTGCTGATTAACGAGATAAACCAAAATCATGAGTCCAGAATTCCAGACAACCTCGGACGAAACGTTGGTTTGATACGAGAATTGAACAATAACATGAGGAGGGTCGTTTATATTGATATTAATCTCTCTAACAACTTCTCCAAATCCATGGAAACTTTGTCAGAGGAAGACTCAGCCGAACGAGGAGGAGGCGAGAAGAGAATCAGGCCTGCTCTGAACTAGAGTTTTTATAGTTAAGCTAGAGATTGGGGGTTGTTTCTGCGTCATTTGTTTTCTATGTGGATTAAATGCAAAGAAAGTCAGAGTTGGAGGAGGAGGGGGAAAGGAAGCCGAGTGCTAATATAAATCTCGTTTTCTGTTTGTCAACAGTTTATTTAACATCACCATTATCTCCTTTTTCAAGTTATCAAGACTTGAGACTAAAAGTTGTCTTCGTTTTGAGGAAGTGCTTGCAAACTAGAGAAGAAAATAGATCTTGAAGATTTAAACAAGGACATAACTGTGGGCCGGTTCTAAAACCACCTCCATCAATAAGATCTTCAAAAGGAGGTTCTCAAAAATAAAATATTATTATTTTAATATAATTTAATTATTTAATTTAATTTTTGTTATTGTTAAACGATCAAACCAATAAAAAATAGACATGTGTTAGATCTCTTCTCTCATTGGACTCTAATATACGAGATTTTAGAGCTTCTTTTATTTTTTTATTTAATTTTTTGATTAAAAATCCCTCCTCATCCTGCTGTCGGAGGTGCTCTAAGAAATAGCGAGAGGGGCCAACACTCAAGGGTCAACGGGATATTTTTAAGACAAATCCTTGAGAAAAATGCGCAGAATTTTTTATTAAAAAAATTATATTGCAAAAGTCCAAAATTTTTTGCCAAAGCCAAAGGCTAACAAAATAAAATAGATAAATTCAAAAACCGTAAAAAATACAAAAATCAATGTCTCTAACGTTAAGCCCACATTAAAAGACAAAACCGTAAGCTTAATGGCATTAAGTTAATGCTTTTGTACATGTATATAAGTGAACAGCAAGAGAGGGAATAATCTCGCGTACTCCTTCCACATTAAAAAAAATTCTCATATCTCTTCGTCATAATATTTATTTTTTTATATTTATTTTAAAGGAAAAAGGAAGAAAAACGGTCAAATACTTGGGAGTCCTTACTCTTTAGTAAAGTTTGATATTTACAAACCCAACCACAAAGATTCACACCCAATCTGTCATATCGGGTTGAATCCGAATAAATCAGATCATCAGTCAAAATTGTGGTGACAAAATTTAAAAACAAAAAGATTTCAATTTTCGAATTCGATATCGTTATCTCGTCATCTTCATCGTCTTCGTATAGTATTCTCTGGGAAAACTACAAGTGATTTGCTGCTGCATGTTTTCAATCAACGCTAAATCAGGTTCGTTCGTCTTCGTCTTCTGATTTCTACTTTCTATTTAGATAACTTTGTTGAATTTCACTCGATTATGTGTAGAATCGAGAATCGTTTTATATGTTTTCTATTCGGTTGGTAATTACAAAATAGGAGTCATGGATGGTATCGAAAGAGAGTTTAGTTATGTTAGACAAGAACTGTACTCAGATTCCGATTCGTCGCATGAGAAAATGGTAGAAGGAGTAGCCGATTCGGAGACAGGTAATAATCAGATAGTGTTGTGCAGAACACTACTGAAACTACGGAACCGAGGCAGAGGAAGAGGAGAACCAGCCATTGCCACCCGTGAGAATGTTCTTCGAGCCCAGTCAGTATCATAATGCAATAAAGTTGGGAACAAGATGTTATATCCACAAAGCTGTTGCGGATTTGGAGTCCCTAGACCTTGAACCCCATGAGCTGAGCTGGTTTAGAGAACACCCACAGTTCAAGCACTTCTGGCACATGCATAGGGCCATGCATGAGGACATAACACACAATATGATGAGAATGTGGTTGCTTCTTCTTCGGACAGCAAACACAAATAAGAAGAGGGAAGCTTGGTTTGTAGTGAATGGCATACCAATTCACTATTCCCTTAGAGAGCATGCCTTTTTGTGTGGATTAAACTGTCTACCGTACCCAGAGGACTATGAGAGCATAGGAAGTAATTCGTTAAAGAATATATATTTCCAGGAAACAGTCCCCTGCCTTGCTGCTGTTGATAAATAGCTAGAGTTGATGAAAGGGCTAGATCATCCTGATCGGTTGAAGATGTTGTGTCGCCTACTTCTTATCCTCTATAATTAGTGGGAAAACGAAAACCGGTAAGGGAGCACCATCTGTTGACCCCTTATTCCTGATGATTTTTTATGATCTTGAGGCTTGTAAAAGGTTTCCTTGGGGTAGGTATTCCTTCGATGTAAATATGAAGGAGATTGAGCACACAATGATGCATTTCAAAGGGGTCGTCAAAACAGATGCCTGGACATTTCCAAGCTTTGTTACTCCCTTGGAGGTATGTCACATTAAAGAATTTGTAAGTATGTAATACTATGAGCTTAAGTGTAATTTGTTGGGTTATGTGTAGTTGCTAGCTTTTGAGACCATCTCATGTCTGAAGAACAAATACAGAGAAGATATTAGAGGAGCAGAGAGAGGGATAGTCCCCGGATGTGCAGGCAGAAGTTCCAACCATTCATCCTAAAAGGTATTTCTTTTGTCGAAACTCTATGAAATATTGGGTAATACTAGGGTCATCGAGAGTATATTGCAACCATCCGAGGATGAGGTAATTATGCTTGCTGGAGTCATGGAGAGGAATGAAGAGGAAGATGTCGGTGATATCGTTCCTGAAAATTGGACGAGGCTTTTAGTTGAGGAAAAGAAGCCGATATTCTGGAAAGAGATATGCAAGATCGATGTTGATGCCCGAGATAATTAGGAGTGGGTAAACCATCCTGAAATGGCTAAGAAAAATATGGCGACGGAGAATGTGGTGCCTCTTGGATTGGTGAAACAGCTGCACAGCTTGCAGAAGAGTATGGACGCTCAATTTCTCCGAATCAGTGCCCGCATGGATGGCATTGATACAAGACTCTGCTCTGCAGAGCAATATGTAAAAGAGGCAAGAAGAGAAAGAGAATGACCTGGAGATGAGGAAGGAGAAGTTTTAGGAAATGATGAAGAACATGAACATGAAGAAGGTGGAGAGAAACTTGAAAGTGTGGTGACAACTGAGAAAGCAAAGAAGCAAAAGCAGCCAAAGAAGAAGCAGCCAAAGCAGAAGCCGAAGTTAAAGCAGAAGGTGACAGAGCAGAAGGAGCCAGAGAAGAAGGACCCGGAGCAGAAGGAGCCGAAGCAGAAGGAGCCAGAGCAAAAGGACCCGGAGCAGAAGGAGCCGGAGCAGAAGGAGCCGGAGCAGAAGGAGCCAGAGCAGAAGGACCCGGAGCAGAAGGACCCGGAGCAGAAAGAGCCAGAGGTGAATGAGGCGGAGCTGAAAGAGGCGGAGCAGAAGGAGGCGGAGCTACTTGTAGCCCGATCTCCGTACCTGATTAGAAGTAAAGAGGTATTGAAATTTGAAGAGTAATATCCATTGTTTTGGTAATACTTCATAGTTCCTGGTAGCACTATTATGTATTATTTGGTATGTGTAGGTAGAACCAGGCGTTACTGACGCTGTGAATGCAGAAGTGGGTGCAAGTAAATGGAAACAAGAGCAATCGAAGCTAGGGCCAAACACAAGGCAGAGACGTTAAGTCTCCTCTGACATTTGGTATTTGTATTTGTATTTGGAATAAACTCTCAAACTTTAGGGTGTGTACTTACTATTTTTATTATTGGTTTTGGATAACTAAGTATTATTTGGTAAAACCGAAGGTATTATTGAAAACCATAAATTGGTATAACTAAGTATTAATTGGTGAAACCAAAGGTATTATTGAAAACCATAAATTGGTATAACTACATATTATTGGTGAAACCACATGTAAATTGGGAAATCCTAAGTTCAAAGGGGTCGACATTCATTTGTATAACCTAGTATTATTTGGTGTAACCATTATATATCCTAGTATTATTTGGTGTAACCACTTATATATGAGGAATACTTGGTCTAAATAGTTCGAGTTTAAATTATCGGAATAATATTTATACACAACATAAGGAAGTACAAAACATTACGAATTGTTAACATAAGGAATACAGAATATAAGGAAGTTCTCACTGAAAATCCACTGAAAATACGTAGTTGTCTATTTCATAGTTATCTAACTTGAAAATAAACTTGAATTAAACTTGAATAAAATTTTTTTTTTTAATGTATTCTGTATCTATTTCAAAGTCTTAAGAAAACAAATTTTATACAATATATACTTAGCAATTTTTCTTGGCTCTGATACCATTTAAATCCCAGGTTATATAAAATTAAACTTATATAAAATTTGTATATATTGTATAAATTTTATATATTTTATAATTTGTATATATTGTATAATTTGTATAAATTGTATAATTTGTACAATTTGTATAAATTGCATATATTGTATAATTTGTATAAAATTTTATATATTGTATAAAATTTGTTTTCTTAAGACATTTTCAAACAAAAGTTTTTATGCTTAGACTAATCTTGGGTCTCTTGTTAAAAGCTTTCTACCAGCACTTGTCAAGAGCGTCGTCGACGTAGGTGTTCCAGGCAGTAAGTCCTAAACACAGTGAGACCGTTGGTAAGCCGCAGTTCCGTCCGTCCTTGAAAAGTCTGGATTAGTTTGCATGTCACATAGAGTCTAAATAGAGTTTAAAGCATGACATCTTCAGTTAGAAAATGGTTTAAGTCTAAACATACTGCTTCTTCTGCGCCTCAAAAAACAATTAATTCAAGAGAAATAAAGTCAAAGATTACAACTTTTAACAAAGAAATATCACATGATCAATTACCTCATGTTAATACTGAAAATCTATATCAGATATGAACTTTTGATTTTAAAACTACATATTCAATAAAAAAACATGAACAAACTATATCATTACAAAATGAATCTGAAGAGATTAAATTGTACTATCGCATTAGAAAGTTATAGACAAAAGAAATTTAATTATATTCATTTTGGCTTAATACAAATAGCAATAAAACCTCTATCAAGAACGGGAATAGATTCCCTTATACTTATGTTATTATTAAGAGCTAAAACTTTATTAAAAATTGAAGACTCCTTACTAGGAGCAGTACAATCAAATCCATGTAATGGAGCAGTATATTTTAATTGTGCTCCAAACATTCAAGTAAGTTTACATGATCCTACTATATTTAATACATTAGTACTGAATGTACACTTACCTGAAATTAAATTTCAACAAGAAAGACATGGCTACTTACTGTTGTATCGAATTTACTTCAAGCACTGTACATCTGAGTTTAATCCAAGATGTTTATTGCAAGATGA